TTTACAACCCCCCGAACCCTTGCTGGTGGTGCATTGTAAAGTCTCTTTCTCCCATGTTCTATATCACCTTTGTATATCACTGACACTAGTTCAGCGCCTCCTGTCTCTCTCTTCTTGTATGTATATACTTACTACATTAGATGTCTTCCACATTTCTGGTGAGGTCTCCTGTTTACAGTCATATATAAAACGGCAAGTATAGGGCTTTTGCTTCCTGTATAAGTATCCAGGTTGATATTCTGTCAAAGCCACAACATTTGTGGCGTCCCGTTCCAGGAGATATACCTCCTCACCTCATCTCTGGTAATCTCAGTCACACGACGCTGCTTGGTTTACTGTAACCTCTCGCAGTTCAGTCACGTCTCCTTGCTCTAATGTGAAGACTTTCTGGAATGTTTTGTTGAGTTCTTCACGCACCTCCCTATCATTCTCAGCATCTCTTCCCCTCTACTCAGTTTTATCTCCTGTTCCTGATATGGTGTGTGTGTGTGTGTGTGTGTGTGTGTGTGTGTGTGTGTGTGTGTGTGTGTGTGTGTGTGTGTGTGTGTGTGTGTGTGTGTGTGTGTGTGTGTGTGTGTGTGTGTGTGTGTGTGTGTGTGTGTGTGTGTGTGTGTGTATGTGTGTGTGTGTGTGTGTGTGTGTGTGTGTGTGTGTGTGTGTGTGTGTGTGTGTGTGTGTGTGTGTGTGTGTGTGTGTGTGTGTGTGTGTGTGTGTGTGTGTGTGTGTGTGTGTGTGTGTGTGTGTGTGTGTGTGTGTGTGTTGTTGTTGTATTAGATGCGCTACTTGGAACAAAAAGTTCCAAGTAGCACGGGCTATGGTGAGCCCGTCTGTGTGTTCTCACCTAGTTGTACTCACCTATTTGTGCTTGCGAGGGTTGAGCTCTGGCTCTTTGGTTCCGCCTCTCAACTGTCAATCAACTGGTGTACAGGTTCCTGAGCCTACTGGGCTCTGTAATATCTACACTTGAAACTGTGTATGGAGTCAGCCTCCACCACATCACTTCCTAATGCATTCCATTTGTCAACCACTCTGACACTAAAAAAGTTCTTTCTAATATCTCTGTGGCTCATTTGGGCACTCAGTTTCCACCTGTGTCCCCTAGTGCGTGTGCCCCTTGTGTTAAATAGCCTGTCTATATCTATCTATCAATTCTTTTGAGAATCTTGTATTTAGTGACCATGTCCCCCGTAATTCTTCTGTCTCCCAGCGACGAGAAGTTCAACTCCCGTAGTCTCGCCTTATAGCTCATACCTCTCAGCTCGGGTACTAGTCTGGTGGTAAACCTTTGAACCTTCTCCAGTTTAGTCGTATGCTTGACTAGATATGGACTCCATGCTGGAGCCGCATACTCCAGGATTGGCCTGGCATATGTGGTATACAAGTTCTGAATGATTCCTTACACAAGTTTTTAAATGCCGTTCTTATGTTGGCCAACCTGACTTATGCTGCTGATTTTATCTTTTTGATATGAGCTTCAGGGGACAGGTCTGGCGTGATATCTACCCACAGGTCTTTCTCTCTCTCTCTCTCTGACTCTTGAAGAATTTCATCTTCCAAATGATACCTTGTATCTGGCCTCCTTCTCCCTACGCCTATCTTCATTACATTACATTTGTTTGGGTTAAACTCTATCAACCATTTGTTGGACCATTCCTTCAGTTTGTCCAGGTCTTCTTGAAGCCTCAAGCAGTCCTCCTGTCTTAATCCTTCTCATAATTTTGGCGTCGTCAGCAAACATTGAGAGGAATGAGACTACCCTCTGGGAGATCATTTCCGTATATCAGAAATAGGATAGGTCCAAGTACAGAGCCCTGTGGGACTCCACTGGTGACTTCACGCCAATCTGAGGTCTCACCCCTCACTGTAACTCTCTGCTTCCTATTGCTTAGGTACTCCCTTATCCACTGGAGCGCCCTACCAGTTACTCCTGCCTGTTTCTCCAGCATCAGCCTTTTATAGAGTACTGTGCCAATGGCTTTCCGACAGTCCAAGAAAATGCAGTCCGCCCATCCTTCTCTTTCTCGCTTAATCTTTGCCACCTGATCGTAGAATTCTATTAAGCCTGTAAGGCAAGATTTACCCTCCCTGAACACATGTTGATGGGTTGTCACGAAGTCCCTTCTCTCCAGATGTGTTACTAGGTTTTTTCTCACGATCTTCTCCATCACTTTGCATGGTATACAAGTTAAGGCCTGTAGTTCAGTGCCTCTTGTCTGTCACCCTTTTTGTATATTGGGACTACATTAGCAGTCTTCCATATTTCTAGTAGGTCTCCCGTCTCCAGTGACCTACTATACACTATGGAGAGTGGCAAACAAAGTGCTCCTGCACACTCTTTCAATACCCATGGTGAGATTCCGTCTGGCCCAACAGCCTTTCTCGCGTCCAGCTCCAATAAGTGCCTCTTGACCTCATTTCTTGTAGTTTCGAACCCTTCCAAGGTCGCCTGGTTTGCTGCCACCTCTCCTTGTTCTATTGTAAAGACCTCCTGGAACCTCTTGTTGAGTTCTTCACACGCCTCTTTGTCATTCTCTGTGTACCTATCCTCACCCGTTCTAAGTTTCATCACCTGTTCCTTTACTGTTGTTTTCCTCCTGATGTGACTGTGGAGTAGCTTTGGTTCGGTCTTGGCTTTATTAGCTATATAATTTTCATACCTTTTCTCAGCTGCTCTTCTCACACTAACATACTCATTCCTGGTTCTCTGGTATCTCTCTCTACTTTCTGGTGTTCTGTTATTACGGAAGTTCCTCCACGCCCTTTTGTTCAGCTCCTTTGCTTTCATATATTCCCTATTAAACCACGAATTCTTATTTTGCTTCTCGGGTTCTTCCTGTCGGGCTGGGATAAACCTGTTTACCGCCTCCTGACACTTTTGGGTAACACAGTCCATCATGCCTTGTACAGACTTAGTTCTGATTTATATGTCCCATGGTAACTCCCTTAGGAGTTTATTCATCTCCTCATAGTTTCCCTTTCAGTACACCAGCCCTTTGTTTCCCAGTTCTTTTTGAGGGAGATAATTCCTAGCTCAACCAGGTACTCGAAGCACAATACACTGTGGTCACTCATTCCCAAGGGGGCTTCCAACTTAACTTCCCTTATATACGTCTCATTTAGGGTAAATATCAGATCAAGCAAAGCTGGTTCATCTTCTCCTCTCATTCTTGTCGGTCCCTTGACGTGTTGACTTAGAAAGTTTCTTGTTGCCACGTCCAGCAGCTTAGCTCTCAATGTGTCTGGTCCTCCATGTGGGTCTCTGTTCCCCAATCTATCTTCCCATGGTTGAAGTCTCCCGTGATTAGTAGTCTGGATCTGTTCCTGCTAGCCACAGAAGTTGCTCTCTCTATTATATTGATGGTGGACATGTTGTTTCTATCATATTCCTGTCTGGGTCTTCTGTCGTTTGGTGGGGGGTTATATATGACTACTACTATAACTTTTTGTCCTCCAGTTGCTATGGTGCCTGGTATGTAGTCACTGAAACCTTCACAGCTCTAATTAACCATCTCTTCAAAACTCCAACCTTTTCATATCAGCAAAGCTACACCACCTCCTCCTCTCCCTTCTCTCTCTTTCCTCACTTCATAGTAGTCCTGTGGAAACACTGTATTGTTATGGTTTTCGTTAGCTTTGTTTCTGTGAGTGCTATTATGTCTGGGTTTTCTTCTAGTACCCATTCTCCGAGTTCACTTGTTTTATTTGTAATCCCATCTGTTAGTGTACATTGTCTTGAAGCTCACTTTCTTCTTTTAATTTTCTTGTCCCCTTCTTGGTGAGCGTTCTGCTGGTGGGGAAAGCTGTTCCCAGGGTGAGAAGATCTGTGAGGTGTGCGTGCGTGCGTGTGTGCGTGCGTGGGTGCGGTGTGCGTGCGTGTGTGTGTGTGTGTGTGTGCACGTAAGTGCAAATGTGAGCGCCAGTTTTTTTTTCTACCACAGACGTGGCCATACATTTACAATGCTAACCAGCATATACACATTTTCTTCTGTCCTCCATGGACAGGGTGAGAGATCTGGTAAACATGTAGTTAAGGGATTTATTGAACAATCAACCACAGAAGGTGATTGTAGTGCTTATAAAAAGCTAGGCTAAGCTACATACGTAAATACATAGATACACAGATTTACGTATGCCCTACATAAAGTGTTCGATGTGCCTTTTACATAGTGTCATTAATATACATTTACAAAGGTGAAATGTAATTCTGATTAGCTTCCACATATATTTTATACACATACTACATATACATAAACACACATATACGTACATATACATATATACATACATATACACACACACATGCATACCCATACATTTGTCTCTTTTACTCTGACAGGGTGAGATAGCTGATAGAGAAACTAGTGTGCAATTAAGCACTTAATCACTGAAGGTGATTAAGGTGCTTTCACAAGCTCAGATTATATAGTTACATCACATACATACATTGTATAATCGATACATTACATGGTCAATCTTGGGTACAAGTCCAATATATCATCAAGTGTTCCAGTACTCATATAGTAGTTACAGAGTTCAGCATACTTCAGCCCAGGAGGGCGAAAGTCAGTCAATATGGGACATTCTACAATATAATGTTCAAGGTAGTGCATGTTTTCTCTTTCACAAAGTTGACACATTGTGTACTCGACATTTGGGTTTTGAGAAAGCTGCCAGATACGTCTATATCCCAGGCGTATTCTGGCCACTATAACATCACATTGCCGGGTTCTTGTTCTATTAGTCCCATATGTGAATGTCTCCTCACGATATCTCTCATAATATTTAATGCTACAACTTTCAGGTCTTTGTGAATTTGTTAGGTCAGTGAGATTTTCACTAGATATTTGTTTAAGTATTCTCTTTGTCACTGCTAATGAAACACCCATATCAATTTCTACCACTGGTTTTCTACAGGCTGTCTTTGCAAGCATATCAACAGTGTCATGCCTTGAGATGCCAACATGTGAGTGCCAGTTTAAGACGGCACAATATTCCCCTACCTCTTGATCAGAGATCGGTAGCAGAAAGCGTGCAGCCGTAAGCAAGCCAGAAGTTGTGCAAGGCGATGGGCACTGCCACCTCTGCTCTACTGACCACCGCCACCACCACATTACCCACACATTAAAGTGAGCATCGTAAGCTTCCAGGCAGCCAGCGAATCACAGCGCTTGTCCGGGAGGCCGTGGGCGGGGCTCCACAAGGCCACTACTGCAAGACACTAACTTGTACTCTAAGAGAGACCACTAAAAATACCACGTTGACGTGTTCCCTTTGTCCCCCTCCAAGCCTGCTGCCTCTTTGGCATCACTTTTGCGCTTTGGGATCTTTGTAATAAGCCCAACAGAGTTACTTCAAGACCCAGTCCACTATTATACCTGCTACAGCCATATATATATTGTATGCACCAGTGTTTAGGTCCATATAACATCTTTAGAAATAAATTACGTCCATACATTGATTTTTATAAATAAATTACTCGTTTGGTTGATAAGATGGCGTCCTATTAAATATTCCAGAATGTTCCCCTATTAGTGTCACGTGATTCTCAGGGCCAATGAGAGACGAGGGACACGTGGCAATCTTTAACTGGCCAAATACCAGAGAATAATCAGCCAATGAGAGCGAGGTTAGACTTGCTGCGCGGGAGACTGCCATCAGGTAAAAGATGATCCTCTGAGTGGTATTCTTCACAGAGCGACCATGAACGACGAACCTATGACTGTTGGTAGTCAGTCTCTGGACCTCACGTGTCACTTCAACTGTGAATTGGGCTACAGAACATGATGGAATACCACTCGGAAGGCCGCCCTGGATGATGGCAGTGTCCCGGGGAGTAACTCTGATTGGCTAATAACTCTATGCTTCGATATTTGGTTCAAATATCGGATTCACTGTCTTCTGATTCCCTCCAAGGTGGGATTCACTGTCTTCTGATTCCCTCCAAGGTGGGATTCACTGTCTTCTGATTCCCTCCAAGGTGGGATTCACTGTCTTCTGATTCCCTCCAAGGTGGGTTTCACTGTCTTCTGATTCCCTCCAAGGTGAGATTCACTGTCTTCTGATCGCCCCCCCCACCCCCCAGTGTGGGATTCACTGCCTGCTGATTTACTTCTGTCGACCAAGGAAGCAAAGAATTTAACAGCGACCACTTGGATTTATGGCGTGTGCCTTATCCCAGATGTGACTGGTTAGTGGCGCCTCTCGCCATCTATATCTCTTCTCTCTTAAGGCGGACACCACCCACTCAAACACTTCACTAAACGCTTTGTTTTTATTACAAATTATTGTGATTTTACAAAAAAATTGCCAAAGCCATAGGTGGATCAGTGACTACGGAATCAATGTACACATGTACTATTGTGCCATTAAAAAGTCAACTTTTTTGTATTACTGGAATTATATAAAATAGTGGAACAGATTAACCATGAGCTTGGTATATAAGAACATAAGAATCATGGAAACTGCAGAAGGCCTATTGGCCTACACGTGATAGCTCCTATTTTATATTCACCCAAACCCATTCATATATATATGTCTAACCTACGCTTGAAACAATCAAGGAGGCCCATGTTTATTGTGTTACCCGGTAAATTTTTTTCTACACGTCTACAACCCTGCCTCTAAGCCAGTATTTACCCCAGTCTCCTAAATCTAAACTTATCAAATCTATATCCATTATTTCGTGTTCTATTATGTGTTGATACATTTATTAATATCTGACGTTTTAATATTTTTAATTTGACTTTAAAGTTGTTATACAGACGATGAGTCTCAATAACGTGCAGAAGATGTGATGACCAAACTCTTCATCTGACGATGAAGTTTCACGGTCATCAGTTTCTCCATCTGACGAAGAAGAAACTACGACGCTTCGGTCCGTCCTGGGACCAGATTCACGAAAGCACTTACGCAAGCACTTACGAACCTGTACATCTTTTCACAATCTTTGGCGGCTTTGTTTCCAATTATTAAACAGTTAATGAGCTCCGAAGCACCAGGAGGCTGTTTATAACAATAACAACAGTTAATTGGGAAGTTTTCATGATTGTAAACTGTTTAATAAATGTAACCAAAGCCGTCTAAGATTGAGGAAAGATGTACACGTTCGTAAGTATTTGCGTAAGTGCTTTCGTGAATCTTGGCCCTGGACCGCTATAGTGTCATGTGTTTGGATTTAAAAATTGTTATGTCCCTCCATCCACTTGTACACTTCAATCATGTCACCCCCGACTATTCACCTTTCTAGAGAATGTAAATTAAGCGTTTTCATTCTCTCTCTCCATATGGAAGGTTTCTAATTTACGGGATTAACTTTGCTATTCTATGGTGGAAGCGTTCTGGTGAATGTGTCTATTCTGTACTATGGCGACCAAAACTGAAGTGCATAATGTAAATGGTGCATAACAAAAAAGTTATGGTTATTATTATTTATTATATATTTAATAATAAAATAAATAATAATAAATAAATAATAAATAATAATAGTGTCAATAAATAACCAGAGCAAGATAGAGCTGAAGAATAACAGCAGGTTATTGTAGCGCTTCTGGAGATAAGTCCCAGCGTCCTATTTGCCATATTTCGAACACTTATGCATTCATTTTTGGCTTTAAATTCTTCTTGCTCATGACTTTTTTCATGAGGATCCTTTTCCTCATGAAAATGAGGAAAAGGATTGAATTTTGGATTCCTCATGAAAAGGATTTTTAATGAGGATTGGGATCCTTTTCCCAATCAGACATCGAAATATCAACTCATCTAGCCAATATCCTTTATCTCTATCATCATTACCTAGCCTCATAACCTTACGTTTGTCAACATTAAACTGCATCTGCCAGTCTTCTGATCATTTCAAAATTCTATCTAGATCGTCTTGAAGTGATTTTGAGTCTTCTTCCGAGTTTATTTCCTTCCCGATTTTCGTATCGTCGGCAAATCTGCAAATATTGCTGCACAAACGTGAATCTAAATCATTGATATATATTATGAATAACAGAGGTCCCAGGACAGAGCCTTGAGGCACTCGGGGGAGCCGATCGGCCGAGCGGACAGAACGCTGGACTTGTGATCCTGTGGTCCTGGGTTCGATCCCAGGCGCCGGCGAGAAACAATGGGCAGTTTCTTTCACCCTATGCCCCTGTTACCTAGCAGTAAAATAGGTACCTGGGTGTTAGTCAGCTGTCACGGGCTGCTTCCTGGGGGTGGAGGCCTGGTCGAGGACCGGGCCGCGGGGACACTAGAAAAAAGCCCCGAAATCATCTCAAGATAACCACTCCACTTACAACATTTTCCCATTCTGACTTAACTCAATTTATACTAACTCTTTGTTTCCTTTGGTATAACTATGCCTCTAATCTAATAGCACTCCCAATACCGTGAAAATTTATTTTTAATCAGTCTTTCATGTGGCACTGTATCAAAACCTAAAGTCAAGGTACACAACGTCACAAACCTTTCCACTATCAACTCTCTCAACTATGCTGAAATAGAAAGATAGCAAAATTGTTAAACATGAAAGGTCGTTAGTAAAACCATGTTGTGAATGATTTATTAATCTCTGTTTTCAATATGAAGACGAATGGCTTTAGCAATTATTGATTCAAGCAATTTTCCCACAATAGTGCGTTAAGCTAATTGGCAGATAGTTCCATGCAAGTGATTTATCTTCTTTCTTGAAAACTGGTACCACATTAACAACCTTCCACGACTCTGGCACTCTGCCTGACTCTTGTGATTTATTAAATATGCTAAACAATGGTTCATAAACTACTCTTTGCATTCTTTAAACACCCTGGCAAATTCCACACCAATATAGACTTGTTTGGCTGAAGGCATAATGTCCAGTTCTTCATTAGTAAACACAGAGACAAAACTATTTATTTAAAATACTATTCATCTCTTTGTCATCATCAGTTATCTGTCCTGTCTCAGTTTTAATAGACCTGGTCTTTCCCTAATCTATGTTCGATATAATTGAACAAAAAAACTTCAGGATTTGTCTTTGCTTGCCCTGCTATATGAACTTCATAGTTTATTTTTGCTTTTCGTATTCATTTTATTTTGACATTTCTAACCACTTTGGCGAATTCATGTCCCAGATTGACCTCTTCATTCTTCATCCTTTTGTACCAGGTTCAGTTTACTTGTAAGGTTCTTCAGACCCATAGTTACCCATTTCGGGGTATTATTATTCGAGCTAATCAATTTGTATTGTTCACCACGTTCCTGGGGCTCTGCTTATGTACTATATTAGGCCTAGGAAAAGTTAGGCTTAGCATGTTCTTTCTCGGAGTCTCAAATTTAATAGTCCAAAGTGATAACTTGTTTACGCGTATCAGTAATTATAATTTATTCCCATCTATACGTACTGCTACTTTTGGACGACAGATTCACATGAATTGAGAGCCGTCAGAAAATGTGTGTGTGTGTGTGTGTGTGTGTGTGTGTGTGTGTGTGTGTGTGTGTGTGTGTGTGCTCACCTATTTGTGTCTGCAGGATCGAGCATTGAACTCTTGGATCCCGCCTTTCGAACCATCGGTTGTTTACAGCAATGACTCCGGTCCTATTTCCCTATCATACCTGGTTTTAAAATTATGAAGAGAATTTGCTTCCACAACCTGCTCCTCGAGTGCATTCCATTTTTCCTCTACTCTCACGCTAAAAGAAAACTTCCTAACATCTCTGTGACTCATCTGAGTTTTCAGCTTCCACCCATGTCCCCTCGTTCTTTTACTATTCCGTGTGAACATTTCGTCTATGTCCACTCTGTCAATTCCCCTGAGTATTTTATACGTTCCTATCATGTCCCCCCTCTCTCTCTTCTTTTTTCTAGTGTCGTAAGGCTCAGTTCCTTCAGGCGCTCCTCATACCCCATCCCTCGTAACTCTAGGACGAGTCTCGTTGCAAACTTCTGAACCTTTTCCAGTTTCCTTATGTGTGTGTAGAGAATTAATTTTGGAGAATTAATGCACAACTATATTCTACTGAGGGAGCCGGTCGGCCGAGCAGACAGCACGCTAGACTTGTGATCCTGTGGTCCTGGGTTCGATCCCGGGCGCCGGCGAGACACATTGGGCAGAGTTTCTTTCACCCTATGCCCCTGTTACCTA